TTATTTCCCGGGATCCGTATAACGGTCAGAATATCTTCTAGTCGTTTCTCCTTTATCTAGGTGTGAGTTTTTCAAGCAATGGTTCAAACAATTGTCCTCTCTCCTCTCCATCTCTCTCCAACTTCGCACAGATTGAGAACAATGACAACAACATGTAGGACTCCGAAGATAACAATGATGATCTATAAGACTTTAATTTCTACAGTCGCTTTCGTCTCCACGTCTCCACGGGTTTCTTTTTGAGGTTTTTTTCATGTTCTTGCACTCGGGGGATCGCGTTCTCTCATAATTATGAATCTATTTCGGAAGCTTTCACGGCATAGCTTATTTCGTTTTGTCCATCATCTTTTGCCAGTCGTTCCAAGGGATCCGAAAGGTATAAACTTTTTCACAAGGAAAATATCCAGTGTCCATTCTCCATCGGAGAAAGATTTTGAACAATTTTATCGCTACACGTCAGGACGTTGGCTTTGGGATGAAAATATGCAGCTACAGGAACGCTATCGGAAATTTAACCTCCACAAGTTGCAAGCTATTGCCGCCCAGGTATTGGGTTCCTCGAAATGCATCTCCATGACCAAAATCGGGGAAGGCAACTAGAATAAAGTGTTCTGTCTTCAGATGGATGACGGTGCGGTCGCCATCGTTCGAATACCCCATCCAAATGCTGGTCCGTCACGATACACAAATGCCTCAGAAGTCGCTACCATGGAGCTTGTATGTGAGGATTCTATATGAAAGTGACTCAGTGCGGAGCTTATCTGTATTAACGTTCTTCGCAGGTTGGATCGGTTCTTCAAATCCCCGTTCCTAAAGTTCTGGCCTGGTCCGCGTCTATCATTGTGGAAGAGGCCAAAGGCAAGCAACTGACGCAGCTGTGGGAGCAAATGGATTTGGAAGAGAAGAAAAGCATCATAGATGACATTGTCACCATTGAGCAGAAGCTTCTCTCTATCTCGTTCAGTTTGTAAGGCGTTCCATAACATGCTTATGAAGTGCGTGGTACCCTGACTGACGCTCTTTTCAATGCTTGGGCTCTCTATACTTTACATGCGACAGCTTTCCTGGCTGCGAGGCAGCGGAAGTTCTTGGCGATATCCCCACGGCTATTAAGGAAGATATCAAGAGACGATTCGTAATTGGTCCAACCGCAATTAGGGAATTCTGGGAGAAGGAAAGGTCACTTTTAAGAATAGATCGCGGGCCGTGTATGCACCCCAGAAGCTCCTCTGTATTATACATTTGAGTTGCAACCCACCCAGAGACCCATTAACCAGGGAAATCTGCTGAGGAGTATGTTGAAGCTATTGCGCACCGAGAAATGGCATACATGGGCAAAGCTTCTACATCTGGTGCCTCAGTTTCCGGCTATGTGAAGTTGTCCCAAGCACAGTTGTCACCACAGGAGCATACCCAGCTATTACAGAGGTATTTTGCTTCAATATCCAACCTCTTTCCCAATGATCCAGACCTACTTCGTTCAGTGTTATGGCATCCTGACCTTCATGACGGCAACATTTTCATCCACGAAGGGAAGATCTCAAGCATTATAGACCGGCAGTCCGTTTGGACCGGACCCTTAATGTTACAAGCTCGAACTCCCAGACTGATCAATTACAATATGGATATAATATTAAAACTTCCAGAAAATTTCAAGGAACTTAATAACGGCGAAAAGGAACGGATTAGAGATCAAGTTTCAAAGTCTATTCAACTGTATATCTACAAGCACGGAACGGGAAGACGCAACCCGCTACTAAACAAAGCCCGAAGGCAACCGTTTGGCAAAACTTTGGCTCAACTTGTAGATTTTGCTGGAAATTCTTGGGACGACGACATCCTTCTATTCAGAGAATGCCTTATTTAGTCTTGAGAGGTATGTTGTCGTCAATTTTAGTATCTGGTGGCCCAGAGCCAATTCTGTGTGCATCCTATATTGCAGGTGTACTAACAACTTTCCTATAGGAATTAGTCTGAGCTGGGTACGACGAACCCGTGTCCCTTTCATTTTTCAGAAGACGAGATTCGGCAGCACCACGAGGACGGAGAGGGATTCAACGAGACGCCGGATTTCTGGGACTCAGTGGAAGGAATTGTGGATAGAAGTGGTTGGACTATCCCCGAAAATTTCGATACTGCAGTGGACTACTTTTCCAAATTACGGGAGGAAGGTCTGCGCACATTAACCGGAGAGGAACGTCGGGACTTTGAATTACAAACTCGTTGGGTGCTTCGGACAGTGTCGCAAGGCAAACTAGCTTGATTAGTAGGTTTTGTTCTGTTTCTTGCCTATAGTAAGTCACCCTCTAGAAACAGAGCTTTGTTGACCAAAGAACCAATTACCAATGCTACTAAATTCCTGCAAATATTAATAGAGAGCTAGAGTAGTCGTCTGCACAACGGGCTGGTTCACTTATTGTCAAAGCATATTAGAAATGTGCTAGAATCAGTTTATATCAGCGAGGGGACTGTGAATGGCTTTGGCTGAAATACATTTGTTCAGGGAACACTAAAAATAAAGCAATGTCAACGGCGTTGGAAAATAAATGGTGATTGATTTGAAAGATATTGGCAAGAATAGTTAAGAAACCAGATTATATATCTATTTTAACTGCTACATACAAGTTAATAATAAAGTCTTGATCAGACTTGGCAACAAGTGCCATGTTGAGTTTCTGTCTTTCTGCAGTTTTGTTTAAAACCTGCCTTCACTCTGAGGAGGGCCAAATACTGGCGGTTTAGCGAGGTCGAGATTACGTTGGCCGCTTCACGTGTTTTGGCGCGTCCTTCCGTGGAAGACGTGAACCCATCCCAACATCTTCAACATCTCTGCTTGCGGCTATGGTAGGCTTGCTGGTTTAGTTAGGGCCCATTCGGAACATATAATTTTATTTCTTCATAGAGTGAATGGTCTGGATACACAATGCCCGCAGACATTAGGAACTTTTTTGGCGGCGGAAGGCAGCTAAACAGCTCCAGGAAGGCAAGCGGTCCTGCCAAAAAGCAAGAGGTATGACATTTTCCATGATTGATATCGAGCTTGTGGCTTGCACCAGAAATCAGTCCTACAAACCTCAAATTGGTTTCGAGCTTTGTCTTCGTTGCTGACCGGAATGCTTATTCTTCAGGATGTATCCTCCTCGAGAAAACGGCGTGAGACACTCCCTTCTAATGGATCAAAAAGTTTGATATATTTCTAACTCTTTTGACGACCTATAGGCAACAGAAAAATAGTGGAAGATAGCGATGAAGATGAAGATATTGAACAGGCTCCTCCACCAAAACCTCAGCCACAAAAAAAACAGTATGCTCTCGAGTTTATATCCCATACTACTCCCAAGCTGAAATCCTCTCACATAGGAAGCCCGAAGAGTCGAAAGGAGAGCCTACGACGACATCTGCTTATTTTGCATCATCCAAAAAGAACAAAGCTCAATTTAAAGAGAACGAATCTCGCGAAACACGAGACTCGAGGGATGTTACTCTAGAAAACAAATCGAATTCTAAACCAAAAGTGGAAAGGAATGACCAAATAGAAATTCCGGTTCGCAGCCCAGCTTCAATGCGGAAGACCAACCCAAAGCGTGAATCAATTAAAACCGCCCGAATCGTGGAGACCGAGGAGGATCTTGGGGCAGATGACATTTTTGCTACTGGCTATCGAAATCCAGGGAGGGGTGGCGACGACGACTATGTGGAGGGGGATAGCAACAGCGATTTCGAGGACATGGAAGTGGAACCACCAAAGGCTGCATCTCCCAAATCGAAGCCAACCAAAACTTCCCCACGTATCAAACGTGATAGCGGAACAAAGGACCTCGGCCCAACCGACATGAAATCTCCTGCTCGAACTGGACGGAAGCGTAAATCAGAAGCATTACGCGTGGGTGAAGAAAGTGATGACTACGTCGATACGAAGAAAAAGCCATCCCGTTCCCAAGCTCAAAAAAGCCCTTCCAAGCCTGCAGTGAAGAAAACAAAAGCTACGAAAACAGACAGGCCGGAAAACAAGGGAATCCAGGATATCTTTGACAGCATTCCGACAGTGCGCCCACCGTCTCCTCCAGCTGCAGATGGCGCTAAAAAATTCAATTTTGCACAACGATCCAGAGACCCTGTTACATCTGGCTCCAAAGATCTACCCGTTGGCGCTGAAAATTGCCTTGCTGGCCTGTCGTTTGTCTTCACGGGCGTTCTTGATACATTAGGTCGAGAAGAAGGCCAGTCATTGGTGAAGCGATATGGTGGAAAAGTCACTTCGGCTCCCAGCTCTAAAACCAATTATGTCGTTTTGGGTAGTGACGCAGGGCCTAAAAAGTTGGAAACTATTCGGAAGTTCGGTCTCAAATCCATAAACGAGGATGGCCTATTCGAATTGATCCGAAGGCTTCCCGCTAATGGAGGGGATGGGAAAGCCGCTGAAAAACACGCAGCGAAGAAGAAAGTGGAGGATCAAAGAATCAAAGACATGGCGGCGGAAATAGATCGTGAAGAAAAGAAAAACGCTGCGTCCTCTATAGCATCAACCACCAAGTCCCTGAACGGTGCAGGTAATCCAGCGCCTGCCCAGGTTGACGATCGACTCTGGACCTCAAAGTACGCACCTACCTCACTTAGCATGATATGCGGAAATAAGGGTGCTGTGGAAAAACTTCAAACTTGGCTTCGAAACTGGAGAAACAGCTCAATGGCGGACTTTAAAAAGGGAGGGAAAGATGGTACAGGTATTTATCGTGCGGTCATGATCCATGGGCCGCCCGGTATCGGCAAAACAACAGCTGCACATCTCGTGGCCAAACTCGAGAACTATGATGTTGTCGAAAGCAATGCAAGTGATACTCGAAGCAAAAGCCTTGTGGAAACCGGCCTTCGAGGGGTGCTGGATACCACTTCTCTCCAAGGTTACTTCTCTGGAGAAGGAAAGAAAGTCGAGAGTGGCAAAAAGAATTTGGTTCTTATCATGGATGAAGTAGATGGGATGTCGGCTGGAGACCGTGGTGGTGTTGGGGCCCTAGCTGCCGTGGCTAAGAAGACGCGAATACCGATGATACTAATTTGCAATGAACGAAGACTTCCGAAAATGAGACCTTTCGATTCCGTCACATTTGACCTGCCATTCAGGCGCCCGACGGTAGAACAGATCCGTGCGCGGTTATCCACTATCTGTTACCGAGAAGGACTGAAAATACCGCCACAGGTTCTTGACAATCTAATCCAAGGCACCCACGCTGATATTAGACAAGTAATTAATATGTTGTCTACTGCGAAACTCGACCAACCAACCCTTGATTACGACCAAGGCAAGCAAATGTCTAAGGCCTGGGAAAAGCATATTATCCTGAAACCCTGGGATATTGTTGGCAAAATCCTGAGTGCCCAAATGTTCTCTAAAAGCTCCGAGACAACTCTGAATGAAAAAATCGAACTTTATTTTAACGATCACGAATTCAGTTACCTAATGTTACAGGAAAATTACCTTAATACAAGACCATCAGCAGCGAACTCGTACCAAGGCAGAGAGCAGAAGTTCAAGTTGTTGGAGTTGGCTGACAATGCGGCCCAAAGCATCAGTGATGGTGATTTAGTGGATCGCATGATACATGGAAGTCAACAACAATGGAGTTTGATGCCCACACATGCGGTATTTAGCTTTGTCCGACCTGCTAGCTTCATGGCTGGCAACATGACAGACCGCCCAGCATTCACAAGCTGGCTTGGTAATAATAGCAAACAAGGTAAATTTCCAACATTTGCCCTTTATTCGTTCCCTCACCAAAAAAAAAAAAAAAAAAAAAAAAAAAAAAAAAAAAAAGAGAAAAAGATAATAATATTTTGTAGGTAAAATGGCGCGCCAGATAAAAGAAATACAGGGCCATATGCGTCTACGTTCTTCTGGTGACAGACACGAAATCCGCCAGCAATACCTCCCAGCGCTATGGAACAAACTGGTATTACCATTACAAGTCCAAGGCAAAGATTCGGTTGAAGGCGTTATAGACTTGATGGACAGCTACTTCCTCACACGAGAGGACTGGGATTCCATCGTCGAACTTGGTCTCAGCTCGATGGATCAAAAGAAATTAAAAATTGACTCGCAAACAAAAGCCACTTTCACACGCCTGTATAATCAACAGTCCCATCCCCTCCCGTTTATGAAAGCCACAAGTGTTGTTGCGCCGAAGCACGTTGCCAAGGTGAAACCTGACCTCGAAGATGCGATTGATGAGTCTGACGAAGGTGAGGAGATTTTGGGTGAAGAAGAAACTAAAGACGACGAGAGTGATATGGATTTGAAAAAGGATAAATATGTGAAATTACCGAAGAAAGCCCCGTCGAGGAAAGCCAAGGCTGCCGCAAAGCCACAAACGAAGAAGACCAAAAAGAATGTTGCTGACGATGATGACGATGAGGACGATAGCGAAGAGGATGTTAAACCAAAGAAGGGGCCACGGAATGCTCGCAAATCCAAGGCAAAAACATAGGCCTTGGGCTCGGGAATGACTTAGTTGTTTTCTTTTTGGCACAAAAGCCGCGGAGGATTGAGTAAAATTTTTTGTATAATTTATTTATTTCTATTCTATATGATGTTATATTTTTTTTTCTGGGCTTAATAGTCGCTACATAATTAGCATACAGGATAAAAGTATTTTGATCAGTGTCTGCCTATCAACTCCAAACTCTTATCGTGTCCACTTGTGGATGGAGATATTAATATGTTGATCTCGATCGAGATCACTTTGTATTCTTAAATCGTAAGTAAACGAGAACGCACAGGTTACGCATTAGCCAGCAGCCGGCACTTGGTTATGGCTATCATATTGCTGTCCTCAAGAAGGTAAAGAGAAGGTAAAATAACTGGAATAAAGATAAAGTAACCCAAAAACAAAAAAAAAAAAAAAAAAAAAAAACAGAAGATATTCCAATAGTTCAATCATATTTCGTATCAAATATATGGTGCATGGAAAGGTACCACAAACATGAAAAATTCTTGCGCACCCATCTTCATGTCAAAAAACGTAAAACGTTGATACCTTCCAATCCACCAACCAATCCCATATTATCCATCCTACGACACAGTCCTCCACGGAACATGGACACCCAGCGCATCAGCAACCCGCATCGCAGATACCACACAGCCTTCTAACAAAACCATCCCATCCCAGCACCAACCTCCCACCAACCAAACATTACCATTTCCATTCCGCCATTGGTGACTCTTCTCCGATGCCCCAGTGGCAGCGTGGTCACGTCCAAAAATGCGATTTACAACCTCTTTGCTCTGCGGCGTACGCAGCACTCTGGTGAAGCGCGTTCGGTGGATGATCTTTGAGGGATCGATTGGCGTTATGGGTACAGTTGTGACAAAGATGGAACGGGCACATTCGTGGATTGCCTCCGTGAAGCCGGCCGGCGACGAACGGACATGGATGACCTGTGTCTCTGGGGGCGGTGCGGACGAATACCCATAACTGCTGGTGGCATTGCTCTCCTTATTGCCATAGCGGCAAGTCTGCGATAGCGGGTGAAAAGAAGACGTGTCGTGATGCACGATGCTCTCGACGAAGGTGGTTGGCACGTGCGTCATGGTCGATCTCAGCGGTTGAAATATAGCGCCAACGACATCCGGCGTGACAGCCATGATAGCATGGTCAAAATCCCTTTGATGGAGAGTGCCCTCTCCGCCCACTCGGTACGAAACGCGCACCTTAGGAGAGGGGCCAGATTGCGACTCCACGGAGATTACTCGAGAATTTAGCTGGATGTTCAGCCCCTCAGCCAGGATCTTTTGGACGACGTTCACACCACCCTGCACGACGTAGTAGGGCACATTGTACGTCTGCGTCGAATATTCTATCAGGTCTTTGGCCGGAAATTTGAGAAGATCATCGTGTGAACAAGTTGTCACCGCTGAAAATTGGGGGATTATGTAGTTTTGCGTAAAGTACGTAGGAAGCATGATGCGCTCAAGGTATTCGGCGAGCGTTTCGGCCAGGGATGCGTCCTCTATCCTCGTTGCGCCAGTGAGAGACGACACGGATTGGTATCTGTTTCTCGACGAGTATGGTGGTATAAGAAAGCAACATAAAGTATACCACAAAAAACAGAGAGTAAGATACACAAACTCTGTAGTCCAACCCCAGAATCCCAAGTGCTCAGGTCGTACGGGAGGGATGCGATGGTTGTTAGACGAATGAATAAAATAAGGCTTTGAGGGAATAGTTTTCACATCATCGCCTTCCCCATGGCAATCGGCATCATTTTCTCTTCCATGGCTTGAGGACAGAGACGATTTCCTACTGCCTGGCACTTGCGACAGTGGAAATAGGAATTGGATGGGAACGTATTTCACGCCTAGATGTTTATACATTCCCCTCAAATTGCTGTAAAACCCGCCCGCGAAAGCCCGCATCGGGAGATCGACCCGTACCCCCTTCCCATCTTCTGTAGGGGCAGTAATTGATGCTGAGTCGAGGGATATTTTATCTTGCTGTCAATTTTGTCAATACCATTCAAACAAGGTTATGTCTGCTACATGAATTGCTCATCTAATTAAAGGGTATCGATTGGAGAACTCATAAATGGAATGTTGAGAAACTCAGAGTAACTGTCATGTTCCATCCTGTCAAACAAAACCCACAGAGAAGCTCTTTTTCAAGCTTGCCAGCCGAAACTTGGCCAACATTGAAGTCACGGGAAATTTGGAAACTGGTAAAGCAATTTGTACTGGGCAAATGGGAATTACACATAAGTTCAATAAATAAGTACACAAAATACTATAGTTAACAGAATTGCCATTAACTTGGAGTGGAAATTGAGGGGTTCGGGGAATCATGGATAGTACTAATAAGCATCAAACGTACCATTTCGAAAACTTGGACGTCAAATTGTTGACTCTGATCCTGCTTGAGCAAGTATCCTGTCACAAGTCCTGCCATTCCTGAGCCAATAATGGCGACAGTTGTCCTGGGGTTTTCTTTGGGCTTCCTCATGGTTTTTCCTAGTTTAGATTAGATATAACTATTTTGTTTCTGTTATAAGCGCAGACATAACAATAAGAATAAGATATCCAAAACTGGTTTGAAAAATGACACGTGAATGAAGGAATAAAAGTCTCTAAAGAGAAGAGGACGGAGGACAGAGGTTCAAAAAGGAATGCCAGTCTGACATCGGCGCGTCAGATCATCTCAAAGCCTGACGAAACAATCCCCAGTTAGATATCTGGTGCGTTGTAATATCCATTTTTAAGCACTCCAGTTTAGGCTTTGTCGGTCGTGTGGAGCTATGCATCCATCGGGCCGCCGAGTTGCACCGTCCACAAGCGAAATTCCAGGGCTTCGTGCGTATGAAGCCCCAAGCAGCAAGGGGCGGGCCAATGAATTCCGACGTTGCAGCTTTGTTCTGTGGGAACCATCCGCTAAATCCAGCGGAACGGAGAATGCTGCAGCCTTCGTGGCATCCTTGGCCTGTCACCTGCGTTTGTCGAAGCCACAGCTTCTCAACGGCAGGCGGAACAATTCAATCTCTTCCATTCTTCTGCTCTCGGTGATGTTGCACAGATCAACCTTTGACTCTGCAAGGTGATTGGCTGCGGTAAAAGTCTATATAGTGGTAGATCAAATTACACCACCATGGGCCATGCTCTAATGAGAAAGATAGTTATCCGTACACTGGAGGTTGCAAATGTTGATTGCGGCGGAAATAAAGTTGCCTGGAGGCTGCGCAGAACTTGAGCCGCATTTAGTCATGTCTATAATCTGTATACAACTTATCAGATCACCATAGATGACTACCATCCGAACTTCCGTATCATTAACCTTTCAACTACAAGTTTACATCCAGAGACGGGTCCTGGGGCCTTTTTGCGCTTGGGATATGGAGGAAGCGTTCTATATCTTTCTAAAGGGCCTCGAGGTACTTTGCCATACCGCGGAATTTATGGGGACCTTTCCATGACACAGAATGTTCGTATTTTTGCAAAGAAAACAACCCATATAGGTAGGGAGGGGGCTTTGAAGCTCTGAACCCAATCTATTTTATTTTGTTGTGTTCAATTAACCCTTGTGCGAAATGTTATTGAAGACAAGGTCATTAGAGCACCAGTAACTTCGATCATGAAGATATTGGTTCATCTCAAGGCTAACTACTAGTACAACGGAAAGAATTGGAAAATAACTTGAATATCGACATTTGAAACCGAGTTCATATGCTAAACTGAGAATGAGAAGCAGATGAATGTTGCAATAGAGGTTCTTTGGCACACTGTTTCCTGAATCCATGGCCATTAGCAGCACTCTACGGAGTAATCGCTGCGAGTGTTTCAGCAATTCTCGAACGTTAGAACCGCTCTGCCGCTTACTAATCCGCCAACCACCACGCTCGAATTTTTGATGCCAGGATCTCGATCTGTTCCTTTGAACATATAAGTTTGAACCAGCTCAATGCATTCTCCCTGACATTGAATGGTCTTTTTTTTGCGTTTTCCCTAGATTTGCTGGCACTTAATTCCGTATTTCATGATGTTTAGACCGGCATCGCGATCTTGTTTTCGAATAGCATTCTCCGCTCCCAAACCTGTCCGGTTTGCCCAAGCAAAACGATTCATAAACACCGACTCCGCATCGCCATCGCGTAAGCCTTCAAGCTGGAAGGGCACAGCATTGAGATGGGCCCTTGCTGTTGGTGTGGTCTATTATTATAACACAAGCACCGTCTTCGCGGAGGAACCTGGCTGTAAGACAAATAACGAAAAAAAAAAAATACTAACTTGACTTTTCATGCCCATTTTTACCTCTTTATCTAATATTCATGTAATCGCCGCATAGTTTCATTCCAACCTCCTACTTTCGCTTCTAATGAGAGTGAAGATGACACGTCTCTACCAACTCTCGACTCCATAACGGCGGCGAAGAGAGCAAAAGCCACATCGAAACCTCCCTCGACGCCCCCCAAGTCAGAAACCACAACCCCTCCGCCTCCCTCTTCCACAGAAAAGCCAGACCTTGCCCCCACTACAGAGATAGAGACTGCGCCGTCAGAAGCTCAATCAAAACTTTTAACACCAGGGGAACTTGAAGAGGAAGCCGATAGCGAAGGCGCCTTTAACCCCGAGACGGGAGAGATCAATTGGGATTGCCCATGTCTAGGGGGCATGGCGCATGGCCCATGCGGAGAGGAATTTAGAGCTGCATTCAGCTGTTTTGTTTATTCGACGGAGGAACCTAAGGGGATGAATTGCATTGATAAATTCGAGTACGTTCTGTCGCCGCCCCTCCTTATTTTTTCTCTTTCCCCCCCCCCCCCC